GTAGTGTAACCATTCTTATCTGAATACATTGGACATAAAAAGAAAATATTGATTATTGAAATTGAATAATATTAATATGAAGCAGAAAAAAGTCTTATTTAATCTCAACCCAACAATAATAAATTTTGAAACTATGGAAATCAGCAATTTCATAGGCAGACCTACCCCCCCCCCCCCCCCCCCACTGGGGGGAAGACCTAATAATAAAACGCAATCAAAATAGTATATTTTATTATGACTGTATTGTTTACATTTTAAAATTAAACATTACTTAACAAAATTGTTTTGTGCAATTTATGGCGTAAAGTAGCGCGAGATGTGCCAATGGCCTTGAATGTGAGACCTTTGCCATAAGTTGACATTCTTATTATGAGAATCTCATGCCTTTGTTGCATTTATTTTTGTTCAATTGCTGATGAATATTTGGGAAACAGTTTGTTATGCCAGATTGTACCTTTTCATATTTTTTACAATTTTCTTTGAAACTGCTAAAAGTGACTTTAAATTATTAATCTTCATCTTCATGTCTCTTCTTTTGATTTTTGCCTAGTATTAATATCCAGTTTTAACTTCTTACATGAAGGACTTTAGTCAGGCGTATAACTAAAGGCGTTTAACACATTATTACTTTTGTTATCAGGAAAAATCTGTAATGAAATTAGGTAGGTACATAAAAATAAGTTATAATATGAATTGTTGTTTTAACTTATTATTTTCGACATAATGTTGTTTATAAATGAGTGCTTTAATATTAGGTAGGTACCTTTGGCAAGATTGAAGGAATCACTTCTGGTTTCAGCCTTTTTCGAGCCTCTGTTCGGTAATCTTTGGGTTAGAAATGAAGTGTACAAACCACACAGCTTTCATGTAAGTTCCCAGGTATCAACCATTTTTTCTTTAACTCTAAATCCGATGGCAAACTGGAAATGTAAATTAAAATGTATATTTTTTATTATAGTAATAATTTGGTTTGGTTTGGTGTGTAAATAGATATTTGCAAAAGATCGATCAAACGATAAGCCTACTGACCAATAAAATTATTAAAGGATACCCATTTATGAGCCTCCACATGCTTGCTTAATGTAGGTAGACTTGAAAATAGTAAATAACCAAAGTGTTAAGTGATACAACAAGTTTAAATTTAGTACTTAATTAGGCAATAATAGGGTCTATGCTTATAGTACGTACGTACTTTACATCTTTATACGTAAAGTATAGTCACCCTAGTTTCTACTGATGACATACTTACCTGTGAAAAGATTTCCCACACCCACTCACAGCACATATATTGTTTACCATTTTTCATTCCAATATACTATTTAAAGCACTTTTTTAATTCAGAGAGCATTAAAACCAAGTCCATATGACAAAAAAGAAATCGATATGTTGTTTTTGTGGTGCCACGTGAATACTTCAATTTACCTAGTGTTGCATAACGTAAAGGTAATAAAACATACCTATAATATTGAAATGTCATGAAATATAAAAACTTCGATTTATTTAGACCATGAAAAGCTATAGCATTTGTATTATTAGTAAACTTATAAACCAGTCAAATATAATATTCATATAGAAAATGTTTTGTTCTGTGTAAACAGTTTTCACGAATTTACCACCTTTATATCCACAATATTTCACATGGCAATTGTGCGACAGAGACACACCAAGAAAAAAGATGTCTCACTTGAGCTCAATTCTCTATGTAGATAATGGTTATTTAAAAAACACTTTATTTACATAGCATTAAGGTTCATTTTGATATGTCAAAAAGATCGCAGTTAGCATTCCAGTTGTACGTAGTACTTATTAATTCTATGCTCTGGATTTTTTTATATGTCAAACAGACAACCATCAAACAGTTTTTTTTTTTAACTATAAAACCTTATTAATCTATGACAAATGAGGAAGTATTTAAAAAAAACGAAAGCACTAAAAATGCACCTCCACAAGATGGGGACTCTAGGAAAAGTTGATTTTTGCAGGAAACGAATGGACCAAAGACAGTCATTTCCGTTCCTTTTAACTAACATATTAAAAAACTGAATTTGAAAAGTTCGAAACAGATATCAATACAAATACGAAAAAGTACAAATAGAATGTTTATTGAGTTTTGAAAATTAATTTACTTTTACACACAAAAGAAAACTGGAAGGGTTGTCATGGAGAAATTAAGAAAGTACCGTAGCGACATCTAGTTTGATTTCGGGGACATCTTTTTTTAAATTCTTCCTTATTTTAATTCTGAAAGAGATTTTTTCAGATAAAACATTTTGAGTCTCGTAACATAGAGGTTGACTATTAGTATATAGAGCTTGATTATAGAGGAAGTTGAATAAACGTCTGTAAATAAAGCAAAACTAGCGTCACTTTGGCGGAGAAATAAATTAAACGAACGTTTTGTTGGCTTTTAAATCAGCCGTTTTGTTAAACTTCCAATTGCCATAATAATTCAACTAGAAAACAATGTTTATATGTGATTTATATTTATGGTATTTTTCTAAAAATATGCATAATCTAGGGTAAACGAAGACCAAGTCTAGGGCATAGAGTATATTATATAGTAGTTTAGGGTAACGCAAAAATTTTACTTGGCAGCACTGGGGAAAAGTGAACCGAGTTTTCTATGTTTATTTTCTAAATACATACTGTAGTGCATTTTTGTTTAAATTTTCAAATGGATATGTAAATAGTTGGATGCTTGTTGGTAACTAATATATTTTTGTAAATTCAGTGAAATAAGCAGCTTTTGAAAGTAAGTAACGATGTTGAAATATATTTTATAACCTAACTTCTATGTGTAACGGTTTATAGCCCGATCAAGCCATTATTTTACTTTTATGTTAATAAAGACAAATAGGTACGTTTATTAAAATTGCTAAACTGCAATAGGTACTGAATTCAAGTAAGTTTTGACATATTAGAATTAAGACATCACAGACTTGTATTTTCGTGTTAAAGCATTTTTATTAGCGCAGCAATACCCTGTGGATAAGTTGTTTCTGCAATTATCTTTTTAATTTAACTGTGTCCTATTTAATTCCTATTGACGTGGTGTTTAAAACAAATCATTTTACTATAGGTATTTCTAACAGCTTCAATGCTTTATAAACATTGAAATTACGTTTTTGATCAACATTGAAGTAATATTTTTCTCGTAATCAGGGTGTCCACTTTCTGGAAAGTCAGGGAAGTAAAAGATAGTCAGGGAAAATGCATGTCAACCCTAAAGTCAGGGAAAAGACATAAGATCTTTGTAAAAATTTTATTATTACTATGATTGTGATGTTTGTTGTTGTTTGTATACATATCGTTGATGATATATATTCAATTCAAACTCTGTTTAAGATCTGTTTTTTTTTAATTTGGAGTCATATCTGTTATTGTGATATTTGTAAACTTGAAAGATCTTGATTGATGAAATCTATTCTCCAACCAATGATTGCACAAATCCAAAACCAGTGGGGTAAGGCCTGCCTCTTTATTTTTGTTTTAATTTTCGTTTCTTAGGTCATGAGAAAAAGAGTTCTCGTCAAATCCAATTCAGATTGGAAATGTTCGTGAAGCCACCAAAAATCTTTTCATCAAAACATAGTGTCTCAAGACAAATAATTCAACCACTGTGAGTTGCCAGGATGGCTTACACAAGCAAAAGGTTCACTATGGGTATTTTAATCAAGCAGGCTCCAGGTCACCCAGCAATGAATCAAGAGAGCAATGCATAGTGTTTCTTCACCAACGTTACTGACATTGCACTAAGAATATCTCAGCTACAGTGGCAGTGGGCGGGATACACTGATGGCCAATGGAAAATTTTAGAATGTCAACTGACTCAGACACACTGATGATAATGCTTGTCAAATTCTTTTTTTCTTATACACTTCTGCTAGAATGTGTATGGATTGTCTTGTTGGTTTGTTGATGCTTTTGCAAGACTCCTCTAACTATCTCTTTTGCAGCACTATGTGTGCACTCAATAAGAGAACAATTGATTGATGTTTCAAAGAACCAGCATTCTTCGCTAAGAATACATGATAGAGTGGAGACTCTATCATATGTATTATCAAAAGTTCCAATGAGTTCTTGTTACGAGTAATATGTCCAAACATTTTAAGAATTCACAACAAAAGTTTTTTATTTGATATGTAATTCCTGTAGGATGGTGACATTTGTGTGGTGAGCTGTCCATATTTTCCTCAGTATACTCCTCCACCACGTCTCATGTGTGTAAATTTTTGCAATTTTGTTTTGTTGTATTGTTATAATATTAACTTGTGTTATTCTGATTTTACCGTGTTTTCTAAATAAATCATATTATTCTTAATGAAAAATGTTCAGAAAATCCACTTTGTCCCTGGCACTCTGAGATGGGACTCCAACCCATGACCTTTCGCAATCTAGGCGACTGCTCTAACCACTGCTACCAGCTGCTACCCAGGCCCTAACAGGACTCATGAATTTTTCAAGCACTTGTTACTTTTTTGCTACAACAGAGTATATTTTCATGAACGTTCAGACAATCCACCAAATATTACAAATATTTGAAACTTGCGATAAAAATGATATTATTGGTTGTTACTTAATATGGAATTTGGATGCCAGATGAAAGTGACCTCACAGTCTAATGAAGTCACTTTCCTATTGACTTCTCTGTGTGAATTGAAACAGGGAGCAAAAAGCAGCCCATGCTGAGTTTTTTTAGTTCAAAGTCCTCCTGCACTAGATTTGCGAACTGATGGCTTAGCTTTCCACATTCATAAGTGCACATAACCTAGACTGAATAAATGACATTAGTTGAATTTAATTGTACTGATGCCCTATTGCACAAACATCCATCAAATTTGTCAGTTTGGAGCAACAATATTTATGCATCTGACCATAAGACTACCTTTTGTAAAAAATAAATAAGACGTTTTCGTCCCCTCCCCCCTCTAAATCATTTAAATTGTGTGAATTTTTAATTCTTCAACTCCTGTTATCTGTTCCAGATTTTTCATTCCAATATGGCGGATGACATTGATATAGAAGAGCATGATATCCTGAATAATCCTCGTATAACCGACATGTACCTACAGCTGTCCCATATCAAGACTGAACCTGTTGACTATGAAGGTATACTTGATAATATCAATATTATTTTTTTGTGATATGTGAATTATGGTGTAGTATATTTTCTGTGTACTAGGCGCCATGTAACTGCAGCTCTGAAGTTAGTTATGTCAAGCTCTGTCCCATCTCCCAACTCTCTTGTAACCTCATCAATATTGTTATCAGCCCTTTTTATATCTCCATTGCAGGGGCTCAGGCCTTTCTTATGGATGGTTAAGGAGGATGGGTCCAGATTGGAGGGTATTAACGACTGCAAATACATCCGGTACAAACGGCTCAACGTGCCTTCTGAAGCACGGGGTAGCTTGATATAACATTTTTTCCGTCACCCATCCCGTGATCGACCCTTGCGAGAGTTGCTTAACAACAACGATCGCGGGCCGCGGCGCTTATCCACTGCACCATCGACCTTCTCTCATCAGATCTCTCATCTATATCATCACGCTATTAAATCCAAAATCCACTTGGGATTGATGGGTGCTATCGATAGCAGATGCAGCCGGGCTCATTAGCTAAACGTCTTTTTCCCTCGCCTTTTGAAGCCTGGATGAGCTCGAGATAATAAATATTTGGTCACCCATCCTATGGCAAGACCTTGAGATAGTTCCATGATCTCCGCATTTCAGACTGAATGCACTAACCACGATGCCATTGAACTCAATAAATTATCGTCACCCCGATTTAATCAAAATCTCACAACGTGAACCGAGTCGTATTTACTGGAGAACCTTGTGGTCTTATTGTAGGCTAATTGTCCAATTTCAAAATCTATCGCAATGTCTTTCAAGGTATAGCGATTTGTCGATTCGTGTTACGTTTGAAGTCGCAACGTATGACGCTTTCGGAACGTATGACGGTTTGAATGACCAAGACACATCATAAAAATTTATTAAGTCCTCCAACCTCTAAAGATTCCAATCGACGATATCGTTCTTTAAATATGTTTCAAAAAGACGGTACAATCGCAATCGCAAGCATATGATGTGTCAAATTGAAAGGGATTGCGGTAGATTCTGAAGTTAGAACACTTATCTAGAATTAATTTTTTAATAACTATTATTTTTGCTCTTCCAATAGACAATTACGACGAATACAGTGGAATAAGTTATGAAATGGCTACAGTTAAAGAAGAACCCATGGATGATGATCCACCACCAGAAACAGCTGAAGCATCGGTACAGTCTTCCAGTGCCTCTGTTACAGCTGGTATTGAACGTAGCAATAGAATAATTCTAGGTAGCAAGCCGTGTCCGAAACGGAAAAAGATAAAACCTCTGTACGTATCATTAGAAAATTGGGGGGATAGGTTGGATAGGAGTCCTTGTTACTGCAAAGAGTGTATGATATTATTCGCGACAAGAAATGCTCTGGATGCTCACAAGATGAGTGCACATTCGTTCCTTGTCGCGGTGGAGGCTCCCAAAGATGACACGCCCCAAGAAGATTCTCCACAACCGAATCACAAATTTTGCAACCATTGCAACACATACTTCGAAGACGATAACATGTTAATTCAACATCTCTACGACTTAATTCAAGCGAAACAAGCGAAAGTAAAAGAAAAACCACCACAAATAAACTCCAAACCTAATCCAAACAATGATAACGTCAATATTCCAATTCAAAATTCCAATTGTTTATATTTAACTTGTAAAATTTGCTCTTGTTATTTCAAAACTGTAAAGGAATATAATAGACATTGCAGCTTATTGCATAAAGCGTATGGAGTTGCGCATAGGGTCATGTCATCACCCGACACTCCTGTAAAATGTAAATACTGCGATCGGACATCAAAAAATCCCGCTTTACACAATACACATGTTCGGGTAATCCATTATAGTATATACTCCAAACCTGGCGTCGACGTTCAGAAGACGAAAAAACTAATAGTGACTAAAGCCAAAAATGTTTACGCCAGAAATAACGTTTACAAATGTTCCGATTGCAATTTAGCATTTAACAATATCCATTCGGCTAAGGTACATCAACGTAACGTTCATGAGAACCACGCTAAATTGATGTTAACAAAAAGCAACCCTGTGCCTTTGAAAAGTAGCAAGTGTAACAGAATAGTTAGTTCGGACACGTGTCCTGTGCCAAAAAAGGTTCTCTTCAAATGTGACAAATGCTCTACACATTTCTTGTCTTGCATAAAAGCCCTCGTACACAGTAGTCATGCGGACCACAGCGGACGATCCAGAGCCGATTCTTGGACGTGCACAGACTGCAATCGTGTATTCAGAAAAGATAAACAGTTACACCAGTTGCAACATAAGTACACGAACGATTTCAAAGTTTACGAACTGCACGCAAACATATATTCGCGTGTGCTCTACCGATGCGTCGATTGCGACATTTACTTTGAAGAGCGGGTCTTCCCAAAACACGCTCAGTTCGGTTGTCATCTCACCACTAATGTGGAATACTGTTCTATATGTAAAATAAACGTGAATAATGGCATCATACACAAACAAAAACACGCTTCCAGGAAAATTATGAAATCTGACCTCATTATAATTGATGATTTCGTGCATCAATCTCAAACTAATCAGAGCGTCGACAGGAAAATTCCACAATCTTATTTTGTGAAAACGGAACCAAAACCTGATTTGAAGAGGAGGAATGTAGAATTCCCGGAACCGATACCGAAAAAGAAGATGGCGGGGTCTCCTACGCCTTCAAAAGGAGTTGTAGACACAAACGCAGTGACAAGTGTACAACGCTATAAGACTAAAAGGGATGAATTATACTATTGTAGCGTTTGCAAATCGTTTGTGAGAAATTTGAGGAAAAGAGAATACCATATCTCAAATAATTGTGAACCCACCAAAGGCGATTTTCTGGTTTTGTGTTACTGTCTCACTTGTGGACTTAAATTCAGTTGCACATCACAATTGAGACTCCACAAACAGGAGCACATGAAAAATAACGTTTTCTATAAAAACTATAAATTTATCTGTATCAGAACTCTGAAACCGTGTAATCCACCATTACCGGACTTCAATAAATGCAAAAATTGTAAAGTTAATTATATAAATAATCATACGTCGTGTACGAATGTCGCATCTAAAACTTGTAATCTCTGTAATAAGACTTTTACTGCTGTAGCTCATCGGCTGCATATGCTTCATCATAAAATCATGGATCCAAAATCGAATATCGAATCCACGCTCGAAATGAAGTATAGGATGCTGAAGCCCACTTGGAACATATTGTATAACTGCAAAGTGTGTGACGTCACCACTGACTCTTACGATAACGTTATCGATCATTGCCAAAAGCATTACAATAAAATGGAGAGTTATAACGTCACTATACATAATTGCGATGTGTGCGTTCTTAATTTTGAAGAGAAATGCTACAAACGCCACATGGAGTTACATGAAAATCAAACTATAGACAGGGATTCGTTTACGATTCTCAGTTACGACTACTTTACCATGTTGACGAATGATTGGTTGAAAATATTCGATCCTTTACCCAAAGAGCAGATGAGACAAATTTTAAGTCACAGCATTTATTCTACGCGAATTGTCAAGATGACAGTGCTCCAGAATGGCCCCCCAGAATATACCATGTACCAATGTCTGAGGTGCACTAAATTCGTTGAGAACGAGGACGTGTCCTATCACACAGCTCTTAACAAATGCAAAGAAAGTCCACACGGACAAAGGTGTATTTTGTGCCGTTTCATTTTCGCCAGCAATAAAGCCAAGATTAATCATATGCTCGTTCATAAGAAACAACATGTTATGGCGAGCTCGTTTAGAATAGTAGCGTTTAATCATCCATGTGACGCACATTACAACTCGGTTCTGAAAAGTAACTCTAAAATAAAGAAAACCACCAAACCAACCACCGGGACGGTGAAATCTTTAGCTGTAACTTCAAGCTTGAATCCTCGCTTCAGGAAGCCTCGATACGTATATTATCAATGTCAGAAATGTTACTGTTGCATATCCAACTCTCGTTATTTGAAGCATGTGTGCATATCTGAAGACAGCACGCGCTTATGTCGCGAATGTAATTTCGTTTTCAGTAACTCCGGATATCAAATGCACTATCATCGGAGACATGTGTTAATGAAAATGACGTCGGACGACGTTTTGGTTCGGCCTTTTAACAATGATATCAAACCGGGCGAATGGAGAGTCAGTTTGACGGACTGCTCTAAGTGTTGCACGAAATTTCCTTCGCATTTAATAAAGAATCATAAGTGTATTAAGAAGCTGGAGAAAAATAAGTATCAAATCAAGAACCCAGATCCGATACCGACTATGACTTTGTACAGGTGTCCAGGATGTAAGATAGTGTTCTCTGACAAACTGATCTTGACCAAACACGAGAAATCCTGCATATTGTACAATACGAAAGCAAAAACGAACAGGGTTGATAAGAAAAAAGAATTAATCTATAAATGTAGCCGATGTGATGTGTACATGTTGAATGGACAAATCGTGAAATATCACCAGATGCTTAATCACAAAGACTCTGACGTCGTCCAACGTTGCAAGTTCTGTAAATGGAGGTTCTCGGTAAAGTATTTAAACAGACACATTTCTGTACACCATAAGAACTCGAAATTGACACCGAAAGACTTTAACGTCGTTGAAATTGACGAAAGAAAACCACCAACGAAAACGTACAATGATAGAAACGAGCGTCAAATGCGACGTAACCAAATGGAAAACGTTAAAGAAGTGGAAGAATCTGAAGCGGAATATAGCAATGAAAACTCTAACATAGATAACAAAGATCACAATATAAGTCGGGGCTTAGAAAAGACCGAAGTGAACAGATCTTTATTAAGATCAATTGAAAGCAAATATAGACATTATGAAAACACGCTATTCCGATGCCCTAAATGTGATATTCATTACTTGCATATAAGATCCTTGACGAATCATATACAGTGTAAGCACAGAGTGGTGTTTGCCCTAGAAAACTGTCCTACGTGTGGTCTTAAATTTGGTACGAAATCACTTAAAAAACATATACTTTCTCATGAACGTGATACAGTTTTAGATATCGTAACACCAAAAGAACTTCAAACAATAGAGCATGAATCCAAACTAGATGAAATAGCCACTACGTCGAAGATCAACGAAAGCGTTGTGTCACAGAGTGTCGATGAGGAGGAAACGACTGAACCAGAAGATGAAGAAACTTTAGCACCGGAAAATGAAACTGTACCTGATCCTCATGGTACTCAAACATTGCGTAACGATCCATCGCCTTCTAAAACGTATACACACAAAATATACAAATGCAAAGAATGCAATGTATACTTCGTGGCCCAGAATACTTGTTATATTCATATGTTACGTCACACACCAATAGATCCTAAGGAATACATCGAATGTAAACTTTGTAATCTACCTTTCAAAATCACGGCGTTAAGCGTTCATATTAAAAAACATCATAATAAAGATTTTAATTTAGACGAAGTCTTAGTAGAAGAGTATAGTAAAGAGAATGAGAGAGGTCCCAAAATTGAAATCTATTACGCTATAGATAGAGTACAATCTAGATTGGTGAGTACTACTTGTGACGAACCAGGTAGCACTACTGCAATGGACAAGGACAATCCAGCTTCTAAAACGTGTGACGATTCTGTCGATACTAGTGTTGAAGGATGTGACGTAACGGTAGACGTACATCCTACCTCCATGGGTGACGAAGGTTTAGATAGTGAAAATGTACAAGAGAAGGCTGCTAAGGAAAGCAATCAAAGCAAATCGGGTGATGAAATACACGACAGTAACACTCCTAAGGAATTAAACGAGAACTTCGACCGTTCAGCTAACGAAGAGGCATGTGAAAGAAAAACCATTGACGAATCAATCCATACAAACGAAGGCGAAAGTTTAGACAGCGTAAATAACCAAGAAGGCAACAGAAAACACAAATGCAGATTCTGCGACGAGATATTCAACAGTAACACTTCTAAAGAATTCCACGAGAGTCTAGACCATTTAGATGTTGAGAAGGCGTGTGAGATATGCAAGTTATCTTTTAACACGTCCATACTAAATGAGTTACATTTAAATATCAGAAATGATACTTTTCAGTGTTGCCTGTGTCGAGAGACACTTGACGTTCGGGATATGACTGATCACGCTAAGATACATTCTGTGTAAGTGAAAGCTTGCTTGGTTGATTCGGTTTTTTTTTATAAATATAGTTTAATAAAACCTCCATGAAGATCGTAAGAAGGGATGAGATTATCTATTTTATTACTGTCTCCTTCAGTCGTCGTGATTGCCTTAAAAGTCAAGTATCCGAATTAGATTTTTTTTTTTTACCAAATTGCTAAGAAATTTATCCTCCTGAGTCAGTACGTCAGAGTCACATTAGGGGCCGTCCATTAATCACGTGAAGCTCAAAAGGGGGGAGGGGGCTCGTCTAAAATCGCGAAATATTACAAGGGGAAGGAGGGGTGTAGTAGTTTATCACGTATCATATTTTTTTTCTCAAACGCGTAATTACTAAACCGACAAGCGGCATTAAAAATTAAGATTTTTTCATACGTACTAAAAATACATTTGTGGAGAGGGGATAGTCTTAAACTTCACCGTGTATCACCAAGGGAGTGGGGGGATTAAAAGTGCTGAAAAAAATATCACGTGATTAACGGCCGCTTAGTTGTATTTTACTGTGCGTTTGCGACCAATATTGCACTCTTGACCTAATTGTAACTTTAGTGTTCTAATTGAAGGTCACTGACTTGTGACCTTTAGTTGGGACACTAGATGTTTTGCGTTATTATTATCGTCGTGCGACGTAATTGAGCTTGCTCGTGCGATCGTGTGTTCGCAATTAATCTCGAAATCTAGAACTAGATGACGTTAGTTGGGATGTCATTAGGCTTAAAATATTATTAAAGTAATAGTAATTTCGTTTGTGATGTTACTTATGTTGACACACAATTCTTACACAATAAATAATTTAAAATTTCCAATTACATATATACATAATTTTAATTGAGCAAAATACTTTTGCTCGACTACTTTCGAAAATCGATTACTTAATACATTTTTTTGCAGTTTCTTTGCAGTATTCTATGAATTTCTTTCCAAAAAGCGCGATATAAAGTTCACCTTTGGGCTACCGTTACACTAGCGTCATCTAGTTGGCGGAAAATCGAACACATTCATTCCGTTAACACCATCGACGCCTCGAGTGTATCATGATATAACACTGCTAAGTGAAAACTATGAAAAATGCGCGTAGACATGACTATATTTTTCCACTCCCACCGTCGTATTGCTAAATTTTTAATAATTTGAAAAATAATATGCTGCGGAAAGCTTTTATTATTTATAGTTTGTGTGTTTAAAATTGTATCATATTCAAGAGTACTTTAAAGTAAGTTAGATGCGAATAACACAAGATTAATCCCTTGCCATATTATATGTTTACCTTAATACTCGTTTTCATTGGTGAAAATATAACTGGCTAATGAAAGTAGATGACGCAATCGTTGTACAGTCAACAAAACGTAAGTTTATGTCGAGTTGACTCGATTTTAAACCTTGTAACATTGAGGGTAAATGTGAGAAACCATTGCAGAAATTTGACATTTGTAACCTGCGTGACGTTAACCGTGTACCTTCTACAGTAATAATGTTCTAATGTATGCGTTATTATCATAATTGATTCAGCTAAGTTTGGGGTTCTTTTTTATATTTAATGGCGTTGCCCTTTGGTAGTGAAAGTCAAAGTTAAAAAACTTATGGCCGTAGATTTACTTTTTTTCTTAACTTTAATGGCACTTTGCGTCACCACATTACTGCCAACTTCACGTAGGAGACCATTACACGATTTAAATACATTGATTCAGATAATATATCTATAGTTATGACAGTTGTCACTTGTTCATACGGTAGTCGAATGTTATTTAATACTTCAATTTTCCTGATTAAGATTAAAATAATCAAAAAATAATTTGTAACGATTCTTGTATCTTCATTATTTGCAATCATTATGATAGAAATAAAAATCTTTATTAACTGAATATTAAAATCAGACTGATATTCCTTACCCTTGTCAAGTGACTGTCCTAATCGCAGCACAGCTTCCGCCATTAGATTTTCAGCTCCAATGACATACTATTTGTATGACTGATCATTACGTGTGATTAGCATATATTTTCAAATACTATAAAACATGTTATGATATTAAAAGTATCCACTTTTATTTAAAAAAACACCCGTTTCCTTTATTTATTTTACCAATGAACACTGTCAATTAGTAGAATTAACCGATGCACATATCTACAATATTTTTACTAACAAATAACAAAATAATAACGCTTATCCTGGTGTAAACTAGATGGCGCTAGAGTGGTTGGGTGAAAATTAAAATTATGAAAGTGTAAGTTCATTGACTGTTTTTAGACGTAGATATTATTTAAATTACTTGACATTGGCATAATTGTTCGAAAAGCGCAGAGCTTTCACTTCTATCACACAAAAAGCAGAGTTTATAAAATATTAAATATGAATTAAACTGAGCGAAATACTGAATTCTGGCGAAAATCAACAAGGGCAAAGCCATTAATTAAAAATAAGAAGTCACTAATATTAAAAGAAGAAGTTCAATTCATTGTATTTGCTATTGGCTCTTCTATGATTTAACCAGTATCGAGATCAATGTTTCATCGCGTGTTTATATGTTCGGTTTGAATTTGCTTGATCTGATAGTTGATATGTAAAATGAGCTGCAGGTCAATCTGCTAATGCATCTGAACAGATGCATTTTGCCTTCGTAGTATCTACATGAAGTCCTGTATTATTATATATATATCAAGTTGATGTGTGAGTCCCCCTCACAATAATATCGGAGTTCATGTAGATAGTACAATGATACCATGCAAGAAGTTGATATTTTGTTGAGATGATATTATTACGTAAAAAAATATCAAAATTAAGGCCTTTATATATTGAGGTAATAAACGTCTTACATTTCTATTAAATCTATCTTTTTTTCCATCTATTTATATCAATAATCTATGTGTTAATACCTTTTCAGACAGTTTTTAAAAATTATATCTCATTATACATAAACTATGACCTTCATTGTTTTGTTTGATGTTAGACTCCAAACACACTAGCGCCTCCATTTTGTCGTGGTACCCGATCAGCTGTATAGACAGACCGCTCGTTGGAGGTCAGTGACCCCTGCACCCATTACCAAATATGAAATATTGTGTTGATTTTGCGCATGTAATTTTATATATGGAATAATTATATCTGTTCAAATGTAAATACTTGTTTAATTGTAATGTTACATAGTAATAAATTAAGTATTAATTATAAGTTTCAATAATGTTTACATGTATTAGTGTGTAAGTTAAACGAGTTAACTATTGGATTGAACATAATAAAATACATTTTGGTTTAAGAATATTGTTTTTTATTCATCACTATAGTATGAAAAGAGAGGTAAATTATTGCAACTTATTTATTTATTCAGTCACAAACTTGCAGCGCCAGTAATGTAGAAAAATATATGAATTAATAAGATTAAACCGTACATATTATTTAAAATTAAAATAACATTAACAATAATTCACTGTGGCTTGGACCTTAGCTTCTAAGGACTTGATTGATCTCAGCTTCCAAGGACTGACCTCGGCTCCCAGGATTTCATTGACGTCAGCTCCGAGTACGTTATTGTCATCAACTCAAGGAATTTTTGACTTCAGCTCAGAGTACGTCATTAACCTTGGCTCCCAAGGACTTAATTAACCTCAGCTCCAAAGTACGTAAGTGATCTCAGCTCCAAGTACGTCATTGACCTTAGCTACCAAGGACTTAATTTACCTCAGCTCCCAGGACCTCATGAATCTCAGCTCCAAGTACGTCATTGACCTTAATTTGAGATCAATTTCAAGTACTTAAATGAGCTCAGCTCCCTAGGACATCTGTGACCTCAGCTCCAAGTACGTCATTGACCTTAGCTTCCAAGTACTTAATTTAACTCAATTCCTATGTACGTCATTGACCTTAGCTTCCAAGTATTTAATTAACCTCAGTTCCCAAGGACATCATTCACCTCAGCTCCCAAGGACTTCATTGACATCGTCTCTCCAGGACTTCACTGATCTCAACATCAAATACGTAATTGACCTTAGCTTCCAAGGACTTGACTGACCTCAGCTCCCAAGGCCTTCATTGAGCTCAACTCCCAAGGACTTAATTGACTTCAGCTCCTTAGGACTCAATTGACCTCAGCTTCAAAGGACTAAATTGACCTCAGTTCCCAAGGGCTTAAATGAGCTCAATTCCAAGTACTAAATTGACCTCAGCTCCCAAGGACAGCTTTGACCTCAGCTCCAAGTACGTCATTGACCTTAGCTACCAAGGACTTAATAGGGATGATGACTAATTTTTGTTTGTTTGTCCGTCAGGTAGAGTGTTAAAAATATTAAACACGTATTTTTTTTTTTTTGTAATCATAAAATTACGGCGTTACATTGAGTTGAAATTTCGTATGACGTAACGTTAGAGTACGTATTCTACTCAACTGTGACGTAGCGAGCCCCCACTCTTCAACTTTAATGCTTGTTATCTAAGCTATTTCTTGTTAAATTGAAGTAAAAAAAATACGCATCTAATATTTTTCTATTATCTGACTGACGGACTAAATAGAATTGCATTTTTTTACCCAGTCGTCATCCCTATTGACCTCAGCTTCCAAGGACTTAATTGACCTCAGCTCCCAAGACCTCATGAATCTCAGCTCTAAGTACATCATTGACCTTAAGTCCCAAGGACTTTGAGATCAATTCCAAGTACTAAAATAACCTCAGCTCCCTAGGACATCTGTGACCTCAGCTCCAAGTACGTCATTGATCTTAGCTTCCAAGTACTTAATTTAACTCAGTTCCCAGGCACGTCATTGACTTTAGCTTCCAAAGACTTGATTGACCATAGCTTCCAAGTATTTAATTAACCTCAGTTCCCATGGACTTCATTGAGCTTAGCTCCCAAAAACTTTATTGTCCTCAGCTCTCAAAGACTTTTAAGGACTTAATTAACCTCAGTTCCCAAGGACTATATTGACCTCGTCACTCAACGAATTCACTGATCTGAACATCATTACGTTATTGACCTTAGCTTCCAAGGACTATACTAAGTGTACCAGAGCGTAGGCACTAAAGTCAAATCGTCCGTTCTGTTACTTAAATTATATTTGATATATCTTTTCACAATGAGAAGTATTTAAAAAACAAAAGCACTAAAAAAGTACCTCCACTAGAGTGCGACTCTGTAAAATTTGATTTTTGCACGAAACGAATGGACCAAAGATGATCATTTCCGTTCCTTTTAACTAACATATTGAAAAAGGTCGAAAATTAGATATCAATAGAAATACGAAAAAGTACAAATATAATGAGTTTTTTATTGAGATTTGAAACTAATTTACTTTTCAACATGAAAGAAAACCGTAAGGGTTGTCATGGAGAAATCAAGAACATACCGTAGCGACATCTAGTTTGATTTCGGGAACTAATGTTTTTTTTAATACTTCCTCATTCCGTGTGATCCGTAGACAGAGACGTTTAAACGAAAAATAATTAATTAAGCATGCTTTTCTGTATAATTGTAAAAGCGGTTTTTGACTTAGAAGAAAAGTATGCTAATGCTTATTTTATGTACCGCCATCTATCAAGTTATGATGTAACTAATAGCTTCAATCAATTTTTCTATTGTAGCACAGCACTTTACTTAAATGCATTGTATTATACTTTACGCGTAATATCCTTCTAGACTTCTTTTGCAACAATTTTTTTGGTTGGTTAATCCAAACGCTATTTTAAACGGAGCCTTTCGCTGTCGGAGTAAGTGCGCGTTGTGTTGAAAGCTAATTCATTGCGTAAATTTAAAGTTAAACTTTATTATATTGATTCAAGACAGACCTAAGCCTGTGATTAGGTACGAAGGCAAATTCATTGATTGAAATAAAGTATAAAAAAAAATAGATGTTATCAATATTTTGTTTACTCACAACAATTTCGTTTTATTTAGATTTGTAGCTCGTAAGCTTTGAAAAAATATTTAAATTTTTTTTTTAGTCAAAGCAAGCTATAACATAAGCTATCTGTCATGACAGTCCTGTCAAATTTTTTCTGAGCGTTTCAGAGTTTAGCCGTAACAAACAGACACAATAAATGTAAAAAATATTATTTTGGTATAGGTATCCCAGATAGCATGCTAACTTGGGGCAAGTTTGATTTTTTTTATTGTAAATGGCTGCGTCAAATATTTGAGGCAAGTTTGTGACAATGTCGCCGCAATATTGTTATGTTAAATATGAAGTTTCAAGTTTGCGACAATATTGTTATGTTATGACACATATACTTATTTGTAAAACACCCATCATCTTCATAGGTACCTGAATAGTTATAAGTCTGCAATCTAGATGGCGCTGTTCATTTAATGCATCGCGGTATCAGTTATAGATTGTAGATTGATAGATTGTATAAATAATATGCCGTTTAATGTGATCTAAATATGGGATTCGAAACCAACCTTTCCAGTTAATTACTTTGGTTCTTAGGCTTAGGCTCTGTGCTGTGGTCTGAGTTTAAACTCTCATTCGCTTTTGAACCAAAAGTTTTTAATGATCAAAAGATTAATAAAAACTTAGTAAACTTAAAAGTAACATTTGCCTCGAAACCTGAAATCCAGGTACTTGAGTACCTGAGTACCTACTAGGTATTTGAGTCAGTACCTAGGAAAATTATAGGTAGGTACGGTATTAGTAATAATAATTTTCCTAGGTACACTTGTACTACCTTTGATACGTCAAAGGTAGTGAAAGTTTATAGCGCTGAAACTAGAAAGTTTGATTTAAACTTGCTGCAAGTTGCTGTAGTTGTCATGGCAAATTTGAAGCAAGTCTTCTTTTTATTGTATCAAACTTATTGCAAGTCAGAAACAAGTTTAAATTGCTATCTGGGATCAGTGGCGTAGCTACCAAGGGGCTAGGCGGGGCAGTGCCCCGGGGCCCTCAAGCTCAGGGGGCCCTCGAATCTTTACCAGAAAATCTCAATCGAACTCAACTTTTGAAAATTTCTACCATTTTCAAAATAAATATGACAGGTGACAACTCGAGTTATAAAAAGGGAATTCCCCTAAATTATTTGTGTGGGTTGACAGTGTTATTAATGTTTTCATCAATTTGTCGGATATCAATATCTGCATATTATTATTTATCGATATGCGTTTTTGTGATTCGCGATTGTGAACTTCGAGTCAAGACTTTTTTTCGAGATTTCGTTCCGCTTTCCTTTTACTTGTAAAATAAATTAGATAACTAATATTATGGACAAAAAAAAAGAAACCCAGTGGTGCATTTGAACGCAAACAACGCCAAGAAAGACAATAAATATAAACAAAAATTGCCCAAAATGGACAAGTTTTTTAGTCAGCCTTCTGCAAGTACTTCTGGACAAAATATTTCTATTGATAATTTTTGTAAATAGCTTGCATGGCGATAGGTTAAATAATAGTAAGCTGGTGCAACTTATATATGAGTAAATATATATATAATAGACCCTTGAAGCTTTTCTATTTCGTTTTATTGCCCAATACCTACACCAAGTATAAAAATAATTGTAATTTATGTTGTTAGTGTTTAATAGTTTATTACCTGCCCATGCACGAAAAAGAGCTGATGATAAAGTTGCTTAGCTTTTTTAAAGTATTTGTACATTTCATGATTTTACTTCAAAAAACCTTACCAATTTTGATAGCAGTGGGCCCCATTTTTTTATTTGCCCCAGGGCCCTAGGTTACCCAGCTACGCCACTGTCTGGGATGTACCGTGTATACTTACATGTGCATTTAGTAAGAAACGGTTAATATGTATTTGTTAAAATAAAACTGTACGATCCGTTCATTCATTCATCGGGAGTTCCCCGACCAAGGAGTAAAGTTATCTATTTGTTCGTGGGAGTATTCCAAGGTTGCCATAATAAGTAATAGAATATCTACTAATAATATTTACACTCGTGATCCGCTATGGGTTGCTGAGCCATCGAAGTAAAGTAAGTAGGTACTATACTAACGTTTTAAACTATTCCTATTGCAAATGTTTTAAGAAATAATCGATGGTTAATCGTCGATTATGAAAACATAATCGATTTCAATTTTAATTTGAAAAATCGATTAAGTGATTAATGGTAATCGATTTCGCACACCATTAGTCTGTGCATGCGTATGTATTCTAGTTGTGGAGACCTATGTAGTTTGTGGTATGTAGTTTCCAAAGAGTAATGTAATATGTAGTTTCATATCTGTGTTCGAGTAGTAGTGTATTAATTAATAGTTTCCTTTTGTTTTCATTTATTTAACTGTAATTTTGAGGATAAGCACTTAATCACAGAAGAATTAATTCAAAAACACTTGTGACATAGAGAATATTTGTGGGAGTTCCGTAAATTGAGTTCTGGAAGTAAGTACAATGTTTACATAGATTTTGATATCCTACTTTTGCATATATTTTTTTATTCCTATTAGTTTGGCTTATGCCAAACATAAATAACGTTTATTCATAAATATCTCATCTGTATTAGGTGTCTTGTGCCTTGCAGTTTGTGCTGCCACAATTAACTTTAGGCAATTCATTTTGCATAATTTAAAATGCGTACCACCTGTATCTATAATTGATTTCCTTTAATCCTCAATGGGCTCACATTTTCTAGACGAGTGTTTGCAAATCTTTTAGTAATAATTTTTCTCAGATACAAACAAATACTTACCTGTATGTGCACTTAAAAAACTTGTTAAAATAAAGTGCTTTCCTGCTGTCTGTACGCTGAGGTCTTTTAAACTACACGACATATTTTAAAGTAGTTTATAATATAGACTGTTTCAAAGGAAGGTTTACATATATAATACAGGACCATGTGGGCGTAGCCACTGGTGGGAAGCTTTTATTATTATATAAAATTGTTTTAAATAATTACTTTGATTTTATGAGATTCACCAGTTAAGAACCAATGAATGTAACTTAGTAGCTTGGTGGCATAGTGGATTAACGCTGCGGCCCCTGATCGTAGTCGTTAAGCAACTTTCACAAGGGTCGGTCATGGGATGGGTGACCAAAAAATTATTATCTCGAGTTACTCCGTGCTTCAGAAGGCACGTTAAGCCGTTGGTCCCGGCTGCCTTTGCAGTCGTTAATACCCTCCTATCCACATTGGGCCAGGTTGGAGGGTCATTGCCCATTCTCTTTAACCATCCATAAGGAAGGCCTGAGCCCCTGCAGTGGGGACGTAAAAGGCTGATTATGAATGTAACTTACATGTGAGTTGTGACTTGTACATTAATGATATTCTTGTATGCTTGTCATAATTTCACTATATTAAATATTTTATTAATTTATTATTTATTTATTTTATTTGGAAAAGGTGCGCCAACAGTAAATACATGGTAGGGTAAATCGTATAGCTATTGCCCACTTAAGGACTTCAAACACTTTGGCTTCAAACAATAAAAAAAGTATTATAACTTTCAACCATTTATTATTTTTTTCTTATATCTAAATAAAATCTCCATCAAAGTGTTAACGGTTTTTAGTCAAAACTTACATGGCTTAGAAAATAATTAAACAAATTTAAAATTATCTAAAAATGTACAGTTATTGCCCATTGCTTACACTCATTGCCCACATCACAGCACAGTAATTGCCCAGTACCTTAAAATGATAAATTAGACTTTGAACTTTAATGAAACAATCAAAACAAAACGTTAAACTTAAATCTACTAGAAAATCTTAAAATAAATTGCGCTTGGCTTTATTAACCATATCAAACATTTCTTTCGCTGATGTTGATGAGTCAGAATCGTCACAATTAGAATCATCTACTTCAAAACAACGATGACACAAAAATAAATGTAAATCGGAGTAGTCTGGTATGTGTTCCTTATGTTTTGGTGGGATGCAACGCACATGAAAGATTTTTGAACAAGGCACTGCATGTCGATTCATTTTTTATCACGTTGAAATGACAAACTCCACAAGTAGGCTTTGGCAGAATGTTACTACAAGAAGGTTGTATTAAAAGATTACTTAGAATAGTTATCTTTTTATTTGCTGACATTTCTTAACTTTTTATGTCTATTTCTTTTTCTATGTTCTTTGGTGTTGGTTCGAGTTGTTGCTTAAAAGGTTCAATCAGTTGTTGCTCAAAAGGTTCAATCAGTTGTTGGCTATTATCCTCTAAACTCGTATCTATACGTAGATTTAACAGTCTCAATAACTTTTTTTTTAGACTTTTTGTTTGCATTTTCAGTCTTTTTCTTTTCTTTGATCAACTTTTTCTCTTCTTTTACTTTCAACAGATTTTCTTTATATTTTTGCTTCTTATGTAATGCTGCTTCTTGTCAATATAATTGCGTGTGTGTGACAAAAATATTGACAATATTACATAGTGAAATAAATATTGACAATATTGCGCGTGTGCAAGCCATTAACCCTACAAGGCCCCCAGTGCCACATGTGGAACAACCACTTATATCGACCCTACAGCGATGAAAAACGTGCAGCGACATCTATTATCAATCTGAACACAACCGTTGGATACTTAGCAACTAAATAATACAAAGCATTGCGCATAGATGTTGCCACTGTTTCCTGTTTAGATAGTTAGGCAAGAAATTTGAGTAAAAGTTTTACGTTAACCGCTCTCGTGATTTCAACAATTTCTAAAAAATAGAAGTTGAATATTTCTGAGTCCAAAAAAATTTAAGTGAGTAATAAGGAGTGTATTTTTTGCAGAGGTAAGTTATTTTTTTATATTATTGTAGTAATAGTATTAGAAATTGTTATTTTTATCTATGTTCCACATACGGTACGTTGAGCTTTCGTGCTCGTTTTACTATTTCGTTCTGACGCTAAATGATTACTATTATTTTATAGATTATGTCGCGAAGAGGATTATGTAGGGAAGAAATTGAAGATTTCTTGAATATCCCTTCTGGGAGTGAAGATGAGGAAGATTTTTCTGACGCTGGAAGTGATGATGACATCGGAAAAATTCAGTCAATCCAAAAGCTGATATCTGAATCACTTAGCGACGAGGAAACTTCATTACCGCCTCAGAGACCATCTTTGTCTCTTGCAAACGAGGATATTCATGTTGTGAATATTGTGCGGGACCGGCAAGAAATATCAGTCTCGCAGCCTAGCACATCAGGTATAACTACGAGTACCATTAGACAATCACGGGCACTTGGGCGATCATCAACTAGAACCGCTGGTTCTGCGTCTGTTGCCAAAAGAAATAAAAGGAGATTCATTTGGAGAAAAACAACTTTTCATTCACCTCATTCTCCGTTTACTGGTGATACGAGTTTACAGTCACCAATTATAGACTTTGAAACTCCCCTTCAATATTTTTTGTGGTTCTTTGATGACGAGTTACTTAGGCACATTGTAGAAGAAATGCACAAATTTAGTATCCAAAAAAATTCCTCAAAGCCATTTACAATTTCAGTTGTTCAATTGAAAAAGTTTTTAGGTATTTGTCTGATTATGAGCTTGACACCATTACCAAATATTAGAATGTATTGGGCAGCTGAATTGGGTATTCCTCTGATTATGGAGACAATGTCACTAAATGATTTTAAAAAAATCTGCCAGTTCTTACATTTTAACGATAACTCCACACAACCACCATCAGATAATCCAGGGTATGATCGTTTGCATAAGATTAGACCAATATTAGAAACATTGAAGAAAAAATGTCAAAGTGTGCCTAAACGGGAGGCCCTATCCGTCGACGAACAAATGTGCGCGACGAAAGCATCCAATCTTCTCCGACAATACCTGCCGAACAAGCCACATAAATGGGGCTATAAGCTACTGGTGCTATGCGATGATCGTGGCTTTGCTTACGATTTCGAAATTTATTCCGGAATGGAGAACAATCCCGCACTTAGATATTCCAGTGAGCCAGACTTAGGAGCAAGTTCAAATATTGTAGTACGCTTAGCTAGATCAATACCTAAGAATCAAAATTACAAGTTATTTTTTGATAATTATTATACGTCAACGGAATTAATCTCTTATTTGGCCAAAGAAGGGATACATTCGCTAGGAACTGTCAATAAAGGTCGCTTCAGAAAAGATCTCAAAATACCTACCATAAAAGACCTCAAAAAGGAGAAGATTCAGAGGGGTTATTCAGAGGAATGGGTGGCAAACTGTGATAACACAGATATTGTAACCGTTATGTGGTACGATAATAAGGTGGTCATTTTATCGTCGTCTTTTGTGGGCAAAGAGCCAAAAGAATCTGTAAGAAGATATTGCAAGAAAGAGAAAAAATATATCCAAGTAGATTGCCCCAAAATAATCAAAATATATAACCAGCATATGGGCGGTGTCGATCTTCTAGATTCATTCCTAGGGAAATATAAAATAAAAATAAGGACTCGAAAGTGGTACTTGAGACTATTTTATCATCTTCTTGATATTACTTTGATTAATAGTTGGTTGTTGTACAAAAGAGTTGGGGAACAGAATAATACACGAGTTCTACTAAAACAAAAAGATTTCAAATTTGAGGTAGGAAAAACTTTATGTATGATTGGGCTATCCATGAACAAGAACAGAGGTAGACCATCAATGGCGTCTGAAGAAATTGAGAAGAAAAGAAAGAAGCCCAATACTGCAATCCTACCTCCTCGTGACGTTAGACGTGACGGGTTTGAGCATTTTCCGGTCTGGGGTGAAAAAAGACAAAGATGTAAATATCCTGGTTGCAAAGGAAAAAGCTTTATTTCTTGTGAGAAATGTCAGGTAGAACTTTGCCTGAATAAAGATAATAATTGTTTTCGAAACCTTCATAAGTAGCTTTTTTCAACATAATTATTTCTTATTTCATTTTGTTTCGGACTTTGAAATGTACATCTTTATTATGTTAATAATTCAAAAATAAGAAAAATCTTGTGATAATTAAAATAAGATACTATTTCCTAATTAGTACGTTTATTGTCGTTTAGAACCAAATAGCATAGTTAAGGCTCAGTGTGCCATATATGGAACAGATATAAAAAAATGATTTTCTAGAAAAATATTGTATTTTTTATTTTTATTTTATTTTTTCCTAACTACTAATAACTAATTACATCATATATGTTTTTTCCACAACTAAAAAAAAAATTGAGCCTTGTAGGGTTAAGCTAATAAATGTGACGGCAACATTACTTATTTAATCAGAAAATTGCCGATAATGATTGCCCCGGGCAATAACTATAGATATTTACCATGGCAATCACTAAAATTATGGTGGGCAATAACTAAAAATATGCCGAAATACGTACAGCAATTGCCCACCGTTAAAAAACCGTTGAATCTAATCTGATTTCAAATATTTTCATTAAAAACATAACATAACACTTATGATTTCGTCATAACCATACACCAATAATGAAATATCAAATAAA